CTTTAATCATTTTACACTTGTCTGATACTGTTTTGAGAAATGTGGGTAAACTGAAAACCATCAAAAAACTTTGAAAACAATTGGAAAACTTGTATTTTCTCAAATATACCCCTAACAAGCTTTACTTATTTGAACTTTTTTTTCTAGCTTTAAATTAACAAACTAGTTCAAGATATTGTTAACTGTGAGAAGACTGTGTCTGAAACCTACAAAGCTATATTTTTGCGTAACTATGTCTGACACGTATAAGGAAGTTAAAAATGCAATTAATTATGGTAGGGACGCTTTGATACCTGAAATTGTCATTGACTCACTTAAAAGTAAGGAGATGAAAATTAAAGCTGAATAACATAATAAGAAAGTATGAGATTCATATGATGCAGAGTAGAACTTAGTTTAGGCAAAATAGTCATGATGGATACCAAAGTAGTGACGAGTCGAAGAGAATAAGAAGGGAAAGCGTAGGTCTAGATCAAAGTCTAAGAAGGGAAAGGGTAGGTCTAGATCAAAGTCTAGAACGAAAGGTTAGAAAATACTATGGCCTTGGGAACACATGGCATTTTATAAAAGACTGGTATAAGGAAAATGGTAAGTGAAAGGTTAAAGAGAGCGATGAGGTAAATGTATTGTCTTCTACTTCTAATGTTGATGACGGTGAAGTTTATATGATTACAAGTCCTGTTATTTATACTGCTGAACTGAATCTAATGCTAATTCTCGTATACAATAGTGGATACTTGATTCTAGTGCATCTTTTCATGTAACATCTGGAAAGAATAGGTTTGAAAACTTGCACAAATCTAATGCTGGGCATGTTGAGCTGTATGAAAATTTTGCCTACACTATTGCTGGAATTTGTGACATTAATAAAGTTTGACACTGATTTTGTGTATACCTTGAAAGATATTAGATATATTTTCTGAATTGTCTAGGAATTTAATTTCAGTGGGAAGACTTAAAAAATGATGACTTCACCAGTAAAATTGAAAATGGAATATTAAATATGATTAAAGGTACACTATTCTCCATTAAGGGAACTAAGAAAAATGACATTTATATCACTACTGGAGAAGTGATTAGAGGTTTAAACTCCTCTATCTCTTCTGCCAAGGTTGATCATACACATATATGGCATAATAGACTTGTACATATAGGCATTAAGGGAATCAAGCTTCTTAATGAAAAGGGTGTATTTGGTAATGACTGTGTGCCTGATTTATCATTTTGAGATCACCGTGTACTTGGTAAGCATCATAAAACTTCTTTCTCCACAAGTTTTCATGAAGTTAAATGCATACTTGAATATGTGCATTCAAATCTGTGGAGTCTTACTAGTAATACCACTTCTAGTGAAAATAGGTATTTCTTGTCTATTATTGATGATTAGAAGAGAAAAGTGTGGGTTTATCTTTTAAAGGATAAATCTGACACTTTTTACAACTTTAATAACTGGAAAAGATAAGTTGAAAATCAAACTAGCAAAAGGATTAAGTTATTAAGAACAGAGAATGGCCTAAAGTTTTGTAACACTGAATTCGACAATATGTGCAAAGAAAATTGAATAACAAGGCATATGACTGTTTCTTACGCTCCCTAGCAAAACAGGATGGCAGAAAGGATAAATAGAACTATAATTGATAAAGTACATTTTATGATGTTAAGTTTTGGTGTCCCAAAGTCATTTTGAGGAGAAGCTATCATGACTGTTTGTTATTTGATTAATTTGACTCCATCAATGGTCTGGTAATTTAAGTGATTATTCTGTACTTAGAACTTTTGGCTGTGCTTCTTTTCCCATCAGAGTGAGGGAAAAGCTTTAACCGAGAGCTAGAAAGTGTGTTTTTCGAGGATCCTCTGAAGGTGTTAAAGGTTACAGGTTATGAGATAAAAGTCCAAAGGGGGTTAACATCATTGTGAGTAGAGATGTCACATTTAACAAGGGTGAAAATGCCGTCTTAAGAGTGAACATGTGAGCAAAACAGAACAAGGTGAAGAGAGAGATCGATTTAAGATGGAGTTAGAAAAACTTAGCACATCTGTCCCTGCTACTCCAAATGAGGTGAAGACTCGGATTCAGGAATTTGAGGTGGAAAATAGAGATGAAGTTGTGATAGAGAAGCATCTTAAGGAAGAAAATTCCTTAGCAAGTTACAATTTAGTTAGGGATAGAGAAAGAAGACAAATGAGAGAGCCCAGGAGATGTGGATATTAATCTGAGCTAGTTTTTGCTCACGCTAGTTATGATGAGCTAGTTGATAGAGAGCCAAAAACCTTTACGGAGGTAATGAAGAGCCAACAATTTGACTATGGGTTTAAGGCAATGAGAGATATCATGAGTTTTTTAGAGAAGAATTAAATTTGGGAACTAGTACCTAGACCTAAGAATAAATCTTCCGTTGATTGTAAATGGGTCTTTAAAGTTAAAAAGGGTACTAGTGCTTATGAACACTTAGGGTTTAAAGTTGGGTTAGTGGCAAAGGGTTACACACAGAAGGAGTGTGTTGATTATAATGAGATTTTTTATCAGTTGTTAAGTACATTACTATTAGGATCATGCTTGCATTGGTTGCATATTTTGACTGGGAACTTAAACAAATTGATGTAAAGACTGCATTTTGACATGGTGAACTCGATAAGAAAATCTTTAATAAATCGACCTAAAGGTTTTAAAGACAAACTAAAACCTGATCATGTGTATTTCCTTAAAAAGTCTTTATATGGCTTAAAACAGTCACCTAGACAGTGATATAAAAGATTTGACTCTTTTGTACTAACTATAGGATTTCAAATAAGTAAGTTTGATCATTGCTTGTATTTTCAACATGACGATGCCGATAATAACTATAAGTTTCTATTACTTTACGTGGATGATATGTTTTTTATTGGTTCATCACCTACGTTGGTAAATAAAATAATAACAAAGTTAAGTGACGAATTTGATATGAAAGATTTAGATAAAGCTAAAAGAATCTTACGTATGAAAATCGAAAGAGATAGGTCAAATTTTACATTGTTTTTGCATCAGCTTTTTTATATCAAAGATGTTTAAAAGATTTGATAAGAATGATTACCAAGCTGTTACATTACCTTTAGCTAATCATTTTGTATTATCTAAAGATCAGGCTCCATTTAATGAATATGAAGTAGAATACATGAGTAGGATTCCATATTCTAATGTGATTGGTTCCATTATGTATTTGTGGTTTACACTAGATCGAATTTAGCTTTTGCTATTAGTACTCTTAATAGGTACATGTCCAATTCGGGTCCCGAGCATTGGGAAGTCTTAAAGTGGCTGTTAAGGTATTTAAATGGAACTAGTGATGTAAGTCTAAAGTTTGGTGCTAGTAAAGATAAGTGAAATTAAAAGGTTTCATAGATGTGGACTATGCGGAGGATAGGGATGGTAGGAAATCCACTTCCTCTTATGTGTTTACTCTATCTAATTTTTTGTTAGTTCGAAATCACAAATACAACACATCATTGCACTATCCAAGACAGATTCAGAGTACATTGCTACTACTGAAGCCATTAAAGAGGCTGTGTGGCTTAGAGGCTCACTTCATGAACTGTGTGTCCTAAATGAATATGTGGTAATGTATTCCAATAGTCGGTGTTCTATACATCTCTACAAAAAATAAAATTTTTTCATGAACACACCAAGCACATTGATGTTGGACTACATTTTATTAGAGATACTGTATCACAAGAAGTGGTAAGACTTGAAAAGATACACATACAATACAATCCTTTAGACACGGGCAGGAGCTACCGTTCGTAAAGTTTAGAAATTACGAGAATCTTCTAAACATCGGTGAAGGTAACTAATTTCCAATTTTACACCAATGTGGATGTTTGTTAGGAAAATTGTTGTCAAACGACATCTCCGAGATGTGATGTTAACTCGGTTTTATTTGTCATTCGGCATAAGTCAAATGACTGAACGTTATATCGATGGCCCAGTGGAACGACCCAATCCCAATTTGTGTGGACCATTCGAAGTAACCTAATTTATCAGTGTTGCTCATGGCCCGTCTTACTTACTTGGACAGCTAAATGATGATACCCATTTTTGTAGCCCATTATTTATGTGTTGGGCCTTTAGGCACTACTTTACCCTATGTTAACTTACCTTATACACCCATTCTACTTGGTTAAATGGACGGTTTCCCCTCTACCTCCGTGGTGTGAGAATTCTTTTTCGCTCTTTCGTCCACTCTCGGTTTGCTTATCCCTACTACCTTTGTGGTTTGATTCTTGTGTGATATTAATTTCCTTTGTGGTCTCTTTGGTGGGTAATTCATAGCAACCGTAAGGGAAAGAAACATTTGGGAGTTTTGGTTATTGTTCTTGATGACAACGATTGGTTGGTAAATTGAGCCCGATAAAGCATTGGCGCTCTTGGGTTTTACAATCTACTGATCGAATTTTATGAAAAATCAGAAATTGGAATTACTGATTTGCTAAAGCCTCCCATGTACTATCATTCTTCGTTTAGGTACATAGGTTCGAGTTGTCGGAAAAATAATTTTTAATCCAACTTCTTAGAAATTAGAATAGGCTCTTCAAGTTTTCAGCTTTCTATAGCAATAAAATGAATACTACTAAAAAATAAAACAAAAATTCACTGACTGCAGGAATACTATTCGGGTACTATTCGGGTAGCAATACGAGTTTCTAACAATCTTGGAGCATGCGAGTTCTGTCACGACATATAACTAACAAAAGAAAACGAATGTGCATAATATTTTAATGTCAACTGTGCAAGCTTACAAGAAACTATGAACCATGGTCTGAGATATCAAACACGACCTATCCTAAATTATCCTAGTCTGAAACGTGATAAGCGTCCATGAAGGATGCCATCTAAATGCCAGACCCACCACCTAAGCTAACTATGATGTGTTTCTAAGGATACAGTAGACATCACTGTCCCTTCATGCATCGGTTTTATCCACCCTAGACAAAAAGAAATTACGTTGTGAGAAAAACTTCAGACATGGAAGCAAAAGACAAAAAGTATAAAATAAGTCGACCACTGAGTACAAATTAACTACATACTGTCGATTAACTACATCAAACAGAAGAAACAGGCAGACCATACTAGCCTACCGATCCCTATAGATGAGATTAGAACCAAACAGCCATAACACAAATAGGAAACCTTATTCTACATTGGTTCCATAACATGGGGCATGACACTCTTCGCAACTATACATAAAGCTACCTACCACATGTAGAAAGAGAACTTAATCAGACAATAATAATACACAGTCCAATCCTATTCGGGTTAAGTTTGTACTCGATTTCTACCAAGGTCCTGTCAGCGTCCTTCTCAAGCACCGTCTTTTACCAACCCGTGGCATATTTGCCAGCTCTAAGATCTGTGAACAAACAGTACAGAGTAAGCTAATCTGAATGCGTAAAGGAACAATATGACCTCTAGAACGAATAACCTCATCATTCGACCAATTCTACACTGCAATATTTCCCCCTATGATAATTGATCTAGTAGGGTACAGTATGTACATCTTATCCAACAAAATTTGTTAACATTATGAACTATGGTCCACTATTTTTATCTAGCGAAGTAATTAAAGCTGTTACACAGGTGAGTTTATTAGAAAAGAGAAATCAGTACCTGATTTTTCTGCATCTCCACAACCTCTGCCTGCAGCAACACATGAAGACAGCAGCAATTTATATCAATATCATTAAGGGTCATCTTAATGAGTCCATTTTGATTGGTATCACTGACATACCTGTCTGAAATTCCTTTTTTTTCTGCAATTCTTGGTTCATTTCTCTAAGCTTTGCTATTTCTGCTTCCAATTCTAAGGTATACGCCTGCCATAATGCCATCAACATTAAGTTACAGTTCATTAGAATATCTTCACATAAGCTGTAGAAAAACATTTTAAATCAAGTTAAATTTTAAAGTGTAAAAAACATATGGATGCCATCTACCAAGGTGAAAAGGAGAATATATATGGTCCATCTGTGTGCTTAGAAATATTTACCAAAGAAAAGTGTGTGATGACCAAAGCTATTAGCATAACATAATCTCAGTAGAATTTTTTCTGGGTATGGATGAAAAACTTCTAAACATAGCACTTAGATGTCAATAGAAGTCACTAGTCAGTGCATATTACTATTTGAAAAGTATCAGACAGCTATTTCAATTATATAACTGCAGGACTTCCTTCGTCAAGTGGCTTATCAATCATGAAATAAACCTGCCACTGTACAAAACAATCCGTCTCCTGTATCAACAATCTGCCAAATTATTCACACTCCATCTATCCATCTACAGCAGCATCCTTAGCAGAAGTTTAAAGGCAGGAACAAACATGTCAGTATCATAGTACAAACGATCAACTCTTTTATCTGCAATTGTTTTAGTACATGACCATTGATATATGATTATAAGCATTAAAAAGATTACTTTTCAATCAATGTAAAGAGATCTTCTCAGTCTTCACTAAAGTGCTCAGGAGGAAAGCAGACATTGAGTAGCTTCTCATGCAAGGCATAATGTTGAAGGGTTTTTTTTAATTGTTGTAAAGACCAATACTCTGAAAACAGGACTAGACCAGCCGGTTCAACCAGAAAAACTGGGAACAGGTAGGTGAATCGGTTCAGTTAAGCCTTAAAAACCACTTAACTAGAGATATCAAGAAAATCAGCCAATTAACCAGTCCACCCAGGAACTGGTAGACCGCGACCTGTTTTAGATGTTTGCCAGGTCACCCTGTTATTTAAAAAACAATTAAAATTTATAGACTTGCAGCCTAATTCAACCTTGTCCCAGCAGTTTTTGGGACCATATCTTGGCCCACTATTTATACATATATCTTCCAACTTTTCTCTACAGGAACTTATGTGGAATTGCAAAAGGGAAAGTAAGAAGCTTAAGCAACTTTAAAGCAATATATTAAAACTAATTTTTTTAGTTTTGAAAGTGTTGTTATTAAATCTTGTGAAAAGTAAGGTCTTATAAGAAAAGGGAAAGTCATATTAGGTTATTTGTTGGTTATTGTAAAAAATAATATGTCATCAAAAACATTTTTATTGTTATTTGTAAAAATATAGTAAAAATTCTAAAGCTCAAAAATATATTATTGATTTCTATAATTTGATTTCTTTCGGTATACCCATTTAATCTTTCTCTCTTTAATTATTTTGATAATATAATAAAATGCAGTCAAGTTTAGCGAATGTTTTTGCCTATATATAATAATGAATCTCTAAATTAACTAATTTTTCTCAAATTTTGCGGCAATTAAATATATGTACTTATTTATTTTTTATAGTCCGGCTCAACCCAGTTCAATCTTTGAACCTTGACCCTTTGGCTTTTCCAAGGTCAATGTTAGGGGCGTTTTTCAAAACATTGTTAAATACAGTCCCACCTAAAAAACTTAATAAATAAATAAAGAGATTAAAAAATGAGTGAACTTCCCATGCATGTCCTAACTCCGTATTCCTATAACTGGTGACCCTCCCCCAATGATATTGCAACTTTTAAGAGACAGATGACTGGTGAGTGGTGACAAGTTAAATTTACATTTTACTTTTTCTGGTCTCTGTGCTTTTGTTTTCCTCCCGATTTTTTTTTTCTTTTGAAGTCAAAGCAAGTAAATTCTTACAAATAATTGGTCTCATTCAATTTTGGTAGACTTTTATTTGAAGAGGTTTTAGCCGTGATTACGATTATCTAGATGATTTGTGGTTATTATAATCGTAATCTCATACTCTAAAATTTTTCCTGAACCATTTTAAAGGTCTATCTTGAGGCGTAAGTGCCTTACATTGCTTCATGTAAGCATAATGTCTCAATTTCTGATTTAGCCTTTTTTAAAAACTTAAAAAAGGATCTTCCCCAATACTGATTTTCATACCAATGGCAATGGATATACCATTGGTCATGCAAAGTCTGTTACTGGAGATGGAGTCTATGAATGACACAAATTACGGCCATGCTATACAACCCAATGGTTTTGGTCAGAGACTAAGCCCACCTAATCATGCTGTCTGTCAGCTTCAGAAATTTGAAGACAATAAAAATCTGGAGCACACACTACGTTGATAGGTTAGAAGAATTTAAAGGGCTGTAGAACATGAAAGCATTTAATAAATTTACCTGCTTCCGTGCTCGTGACCTAGCTGCAGACTCTCTGTTTTTAATCATTCTCCTATGTCTTCTCTCCACTACTTTCTCTAATGAACCAGTTGATTTCCTTCCTCGTCCACCTTCACCGAATGCACCAGGAGATGATGATAATGATGATGTATCTACAGTACACTTGGAAATCGTGTCTGAAGCCAAATGGTTTCCAGGAGACCCTCCTGCAACTGCTGTAACCCCACCACGTGGCCCTGACATGATCATTGCTCCACCTCGAACAGCAGTATTATTCATAGAAGGGTTTGACATTCCAACAACTAAACCTTTTGTCCCATGGCTAGCAAGCTGACCATTATTTCCCGTTTGTACTGGGGAAGAAAAATTCAAAGTTGTTTGCTTGGGAAAAAGTGGTGACACTTGTGGTTGTGGATTCTGAAGCTGTTGTTGAGAAGACCTGACACCACCTATATTCATCCCTAAACTTGAAGAACTGAGAACTACATTATTCATCTCTGCAAGTTGATTACCCATCACTCCCTGATTTGCAGATGGTTGTTGAAATCTTGTGGTCACACCAGTGTTGTTACCACTCGACTGTGGTAAAACACCATAGATTCCACCAGCATTTGGCCTTCCAGTTGGTTGGATATCTTCTCTAACCACCCCAGCTCTTGCCAAAAACTCTTCTAATGTAACCTCACTAAAAGTTGGCTGCCTTTGTCCAAAATTTGATCCTCCACTAACCCTTCCATCTTCTACACCAACATCCTTGAATGCATCTCTCCACACTTCATCAACAGTTTTCTGACTAACAGTGTGCGGTAATGTAACAGAACCTTGCCTCTGCAAATTTCCACCTGGGGCATTACCATTTCCCCCATTAGTAGTAGATGCCATGGCTTGAGTCTCTTCGGCTGTCCAAATGCTCTTCAATAGGTCCTCCATGTTCATAGATCCAAAATCCTTTCCATGGCCACCAAAGGTGTTTTGAAGCTCATCAAAGGTCAAGGAGTATACAGAGGACTGCCGAGCCAATGGATAATTACCTCCCTGCTTCCTGCCATTGCCATCTGGCAGTGATGTGTCCAGCCCAAAGTTCTTGAAGTTCGTGTAAGACGCCATTATACAGTAGAGCAAATTAGAGATGGTAGTTGATGAACATAAAATTGAGATTGTAAGTACATAAGCAATCAGATGCTAAGATACCAAATCAATGGTCATAAAATACTACCATGATCACATAAGATCAAAAAAATTCTCACTTCCCCTGCTCGCTTTTCATAAAATTCAGGTACAGCAATCATTTTAGTCAAACATATAAACATATGGGCATTGTACCAAATCAAGAAAAACGTGAAGAAATCAAGCAATATTACAGACCCATATTTTAAATAATAAAACCTTCGGAAAAATTAAATTGCATATAAAGCACTTCCTCAGTATTCAGTCCATTCAAAAGCTTAATTGAAATACAGGGCTATATCACAACCAAATTAAACCAAACTAATTGCACAGTAATGAAATAGATAACTTCTAAAATGTCTAGAAACAAAGTGAACCGTCAGCCTTAGAGATTTTATCTTTCATTCTTTATAAGAAAAAGAGAAACCAAAAGAAATGTTATTAGTTAGCTTTTACGTCAAAACTTGTTTGTAGACTGTTACTAGAAAAAATAGAGCAATAATCCAATTTATATAGATTATACTATTTTCTCTGTCATTTCAATGTCCTCCTTAACTTCTATTAATTAATTTAACATATTTAAAGCACATCAAAGCAATAATTGAGTAAGTAAATTAGGTATCACAAGCAAATAGAACGCATTATCTTTTGATTATCTTGTATAGCCCCTGTTTGTATCTCATTCTTTCCTCATTAAAATGAAAAATATGACCATTATTCATCATATCAAGCCACCAAATTTGAATTTCTATCTCTTATTCGGGACCCGTAACGACTATATTTTTCATTCTCATTCTTACAAAAAGGGGAAACAAATGGGGGCAATAATATTAATATTTTCATACACAATGGCATGTCAATCGTCCAAATTTTGATCCCTCTTTAAATGATAACAGCACCTCCCTTTTTCTTCTTCGTTGCGTCTCCAGAATTCGAATTCATCTCAAAAATTTAACATTGCAAAATTAATTATAAAAGATAAAAAGAAATCCAAAAAATAAAAAATAAAACCCTAATCCCCATTTATAACTATTTCCGAGAACAAATGAAATACAGTAAACCAAAAAACATTTTAAATAAAAAAAACACCACACAAATCACAGTTTTTTAAAGCAAACTAACAATACATTAAAATCTAAAAATAAAATTATTTTAAATCGCACAAATAACACCCAAATTATGTCCAAAAGTATAGTAAATTTTGATAATTCATCTCCAGCTCAAGAAAAAAAAAATAGCATGATCAGAACGAGAGTATTAAAGATAAAAGAAACTTTTTTTCTAGCACAAACGAAATTCAGTGAACAAAAAATCACTAAAAACTAAAACACTCAACCCAGATATAATTTTGTAAAGCAAACTAACAAGTAACAACAACAAAAAAACTCAAGAAAATATCATTTGTCTTTTAAATCATACCAAGAATTAGCCAAAATTTGTCCAAATATATAGTAAAGTCGCAGAATTCATCTTCATTCGTTCTTCTTCTTCCTTAAAAAAATAAAAAGAAAAAAAAATCCCCAAACCCCAATTATTACTATATCCGAGGACACAAATGAAATCCAGAGAACAAAAATTCAATAAAAACTAAAACACTCGACCAAAATCAAATTTGCTAAAGCAGACTAAAGTATAACAAAACTAAAACAAATCTCTTGTCTGTTAAATCACACGAAAATGTTCAAAATATGTACAAAATGTAGTAAAATATTTTCAAATATCTAAAAACCATAACACTGGACTAATTACAATTTTTTAAAAGCACACTAACAATACAACAAAACTGAAACAAATCCATTGTCTTCAAAGAATACCCAAAATACGTCCAAAACTGCAGTAAATTCAATTTTTGCACTTCACATCATGACATCATGGAAAAACAGAAGAAAAAAAGGAAATAAATAGATTTTAGAGAGGAAAAGAATGTTACCATTTTTAGAGAAGAAAAAAAAGCGAGTCCGTGCTTTCTTCTTCGCAAGTTGGATGCTTGGCGTAGGTGACAGGTGTCTCGTGAGGCGGCTCTCTTTCTCATATTTATAGCCAGCAAAATTACAAATTGGGTCCCTAATCTGTTGAAAATGTATCCACTTGGTGCCAATTGTTTTATTTTTAATCTTTAAGCTACATTTGGCACATCAAATTAGACCGAATAAGGAAAATATAGGAAATAATATTTTTTTGAATAAAAAATTAATGAATATTAACCACATTAATCAACTATAGATCATCTATCTAATAATATTCATTAAAATTTTATACTAAATTCTTTGTAAAATCTAATTTTATATTAATCATCGCATGTATGTCACATAGGGCGATTGCAGTAGTAAGCGATTTTATATAATATTATTTTTTAAGAGTAATGTTATTCGTAGTTGCTCACTGTCGTAGTCGTCTTATGTATATCACTTAAGGCAACTTCAGTAATGAGCTACTGCAAATAACATTATTCTTTTAATTTATTTTTCAAAAAAATAATGTTATTTGCAATCGCTCACTATCGCAGTCGTTCTACTATTAAGAAATATAGGATTATTTATTATTTATTAAGGGTAGAATAGTCATTTTTAGTTTCCTTTGTTTAGCCTATATATATATTCTCTTTGTATTTAGGTTAAACCATCTTTTTTAGCATTCAATTAATTACGTATTATCAATGAAACCCTAGCCTCCTCCTTTTCTTCTTTATTTTCTTTGAATTGTTTAACACATACGTGACCACGGGCGGACCCACATGGGGTCATGTGGGGTCAAATGACCCCACAGTTTTCTGATTTTTTTTTTTTTGGGTGCTGAAAACTTAATTTTCTGTCTTTTTAATGCTGAAAACTTAATTTTCTGCCTCAAAAAGTTCAAATTTTAAATCTATATTCATATCACATGGTCCATATCTATTATTTAGTCCATAAATATATCATATTATCCAACGATTTCTTCCCAAAGTGCACATATCGAATATGAACAGTAAACAACAGATTTTTCCTTTTTTTTTATGATACGTTATTCGAAAAAAAAAATTTGACCCCACAGTTCAAATGGTCTGGGTCCGCCCCTGTACGTGACATACATATAACGGTTAATAATTTTTTGTATATGGTAATAAAAAAATACTATATTTATGTATCAAATTACTAACTGTCACATACATGTCACATAAGACGATTGCGATAGTGAACGACTGCAAATAGCATTACTTTTTATTAAACTACTTCCATTAGTGTTCATAGTTGAATAGGTCAATACTATGCACGCAAAAAAACGAAATTTTTTGCCATGTAGAAAAATAATTATATATTTCCTAACTTTTTAACACCTAATTTATGTAATTCTTTATTTAAGAATTTAACATTAATTAGATGAGGATCGATTATTGCAAAATCAAAGTATAGATCTCCTAAGCATCTTTTGAAAGATTTAATTCCTTTTGGTGAAGTACAATATTTTTTCCTCCTTTATTTTTGCAAATTGTGAATAAAAATGTACTTCTTCGTAACGAAAGTCAACTTAATTTATTTGGTTAAAAAGTGATTTAACACTTGTTCATAAATACTTACCTAACATATCGTTAAATGATATGAAAATTAAGCTCCCATTTGAAATTTTCATTCCATTACATTTCCTTTTTCTCTTACCTATTTTCAACAACACAATTTTTCATAAAATAATATTACACGTAGATCGAAAATTTTTATTTCTTTTTCGACCACTCATTTTTTAAAAAAATACTATTTCTCTCATTTTCATTTCCACAAAATGGGGGTCAAACGAGGGCTGAAAGAGATTGGTGACTTACTTGCTATATGTTTAATAGGTTGGGGCTCCTCTAAATTTTATTATTTAGTTTCATAAGTTTATTTGTTACGCAAGCACGTGGAATTCATTAACTTGGATCAGTTTTATTGGGTCTATGCTCACCAATGAGAGACTGCAAAGTGGGAGAATCTGCACCGTTGCGTATGATTTCCGACAGGTGAATTAGGTTCAGTTTCAGGTGGGTGAGAGCTTAAAATACGTCTTAGGTGTGTCAGTAGTGGCGCGTAGCACACAATTTGTGGCTGGATCCAATTGTTCGATGACCCACTAAACAACAGTTTTTTTTTTTTTTTTTAATAATAATTTATTTTTATTTTTTTTGAAAAATGTTTAGTTAAAAAGTACAAAAAATTTTAAAATTATGTACAAAATATTTTATTTAAAAATGCATGATTTCAAATGCACTTGAGATTTGTTGTCAAAAATTGACCATCCAACTTACTGTCCACCCAATAATTCATTGACACATCACTTTAAATTAATATGTCCAACTTTTTTCTTACTACTACTTGGACTTAGAAATAAGTATAAAATGATGTATCGACAAATTATTGGATAGACATGAATAGCAAGCTAAATAGTCAATTTTGAACAACAAATTTCAACTCTCAAAATTGAGAATTACAAAAAAAAAAAAAAAAATTGATTTTGAAAAATGGTAGACAAACAAGAACTCAAAGTGCAAATTATTCAAGCGATTCCGTTTAGATAAAAATTTGTATTAGGTTTTAATAAAATTAATAAAATATACAACTCAAAAATTTATATAAATTATGAATTCCATAAAATTTATTGTTGAAAATAAATTTTAGGCAAAGGAGTCAAATAGAGGCTTACTTAGTCCATATTTGATTGAGATTATTTAATATTTATTTTTCTCTTAATTCATTTATTATCATGCATTTTTTCAATAAAACATCGTTATACGTGGACTCATAACTTTTTAATACATTTTAATTACACTTTAAAAAAAATCACTTTTTCACAAAAATTCATATCAAACATGCTCTTATTTTTATTTTTAAATAACAAATTTTTATTAAAAAAAATCTTTATTCTTATTTTATTTATTTATTTTAACACCCGTTCCTTTTATTTTACCATAAAAATATTTTCTTATTATTTTAAATTTAACAAAAATTTAGAAGGCCTAGCCAAAGTAGTTGTTAAACTTCCAGTTTCTAGCAATTGAATGTTTAACTTTTGATTTTATATCATGTGGGCCTTTGATGAACAGTTTTCGTCCCTTTAGATTATAAAATGTCATGTGACTTTGGAAGTTTAATTTATTCAGAGACCAAATGAAAAATGCGAAATTTAAATTTGAGAATTTGATTTGTGATAAATTGTACGATTGGCAACTTAATTGCTTTTCTTGATATAGGTTAGGGACCCTAACTATTCGTTTTGTTAAAATAATAATAATAATAATAA